TCTGAGTCAGGTCCTGTTTCTGTCATCTGTCCTTCGCCGTCTGTAGAGCGCGACGCGCTTGATGCAGGTCGTAGAAAGCGCTGCTCCAAAACCTTTGCTGCATTCACAACTTCAGCTTCTGTTGCGTTTTGACTCGATAGGAGGAGGTTGAGGTGTCGCCGCATCAGGCGAGCCACTTCCGTGTCTGTAAGGTCTGCTGTTTCTGTGTCGCTTTGCGTCTCAAGTGTACCTTCGTCTGAGGGGGGTACTGTGCCCCCAGAGAGGCACCCAGCTCTGTTCTTGCTGAGAAGCTGCTGCAGCACCAAGTGCAACTTGCAGTCAAAAAAGAGTTTCCGATACCCTTGCCGTGAAACCTGTGACGGCTGGTGTGTATTAGCATCCGCAGCATCTGAAGTAGAATTACAATTCTGCGATAAATTGCAGCAACTCAACTCCAGTCCGGGTGAGGCATTTAGAGGTATGCCGCAGTCGGGGGTCCCCATGCTGTTGTCTGCCGTCTGAATTGAGACCCCCTCTGCTGCCGTCTGGTGGGGGTCCCCCATGTCGGTGTCTTCCATCTGAGTAGGGGAGGCCCGTTTGCAGCTCTGTCGCCAACACGCTGGTCGCCGTAATGCAGAATTGATTACTCCTTCACTCCTCCTCAAGCTTATCAGTTCCACATATCTTTTAACAGAGTCATTTTTCACATTACCTCAGCACAGTGTGAGCTGAGAAGTGAAGAAAGTTGATGATTTCCCCCTCGTAAATTCTGCATATAAGTTAGGCAACAGCAGTGAAGTGGGCAGAAGAAGAAGAAAGCGTAACTTCTTTTCATTTTAAATGCTGAAACGGTAGGCGTCAATGATGGTGTGCAACAATAGAAGCAAACACCATGAAGCTGAAGCTTCCAGGTTGCATCCGTGACTCCTTTACGACCGCATAATTCTAAAAAACAGAAGAATTCCTTGAAAATGGATACTTGAGACACTGCTGAGAGGCATGCGCGTCTGCTGCTTCAAATTGAACTGGGGGCCCCAGGGGGGTGCTACTGCACGGGCACTACAATGGAGCGCAAGTGGACACTTCTGAGACCTTGTTAGATGAAAGAGAACAGATACAATACTAATAGAGATAAATGGTAACACTTTAGGTAGAGACTTAAGGTAACCAAGTCAAGAATGCTCGGCAGCTACACCAGGTTTAAGCTGGGTGGGAGACTGATGTTGCGGTTGAGACACTGACTCACTTCAGAGTCAGAGTGAGATTTATGATTATCGGATTCCCTTTTTCAATACGATTGCTTGACGAATGTTTGAATATTTATGTCACAATAGAATAGAAAGCCTGCGTTTAGTGTGTAGATGTAGAGTTTGCACGCAGTTACGTTCATCTACGATACGTAGTAACAGCAGAGCCAGCTGTTCGCTACGGGGGGCCCCCCGGGGGCCCCTCCGGGGCCCCCCACCAACTTGTAGATGTGAGAAGTGTAGTCCTGTAATCCATAGTAAGTAAGTACCTAGTACTCCATCATTTATATAGATTGCGAAATTTAATCCTTCGTTAACACTATTGAATAGTGGTATTTCAAAAAAATTCTCCCCGAGCATAGACCTCAACAGAGACAAGGAAGGCTTCCACGTCCCAGAAGATGAGACACTCCGCCCAAGCTGCAGCCTCTGATCATAGCATCGGATCTGATGCAGAGAGTCAGGGTCCTCTGACAGCCAGTAACTACCACAGACACGACGTTAAGCTAGCCCATGAAAATGGAGATATCATGCGAGCGTTTTTCCAATCAGTGGAGATTGAGCACGTGGACGCAGGCATACCTCGTGAAATATGGGAACACGGGATACGCATATACTTAGTGTGGAAGGCTGTAGATCATTAGTATCATCTACGGGTCTCCTGAGTAGACCTGAACAGCTGGGAAGTGGTTAGTGAAGAAATGCTTACAAGATTGTACGGGGTATCGAGAGAAGATGATAATCCGACTAGCAAACATACGGTGGAAGGGTGACCCGGTACTATATGCAGCTGAAGTTTCGCTGGTATCGAGTCAGGGTGAAACTCTAACACCAGGAAATTCGCTTAAGTTATTCAAAGGCAAGTATGTAGAGTAAGGGGGGGAAAATCATAATAATACGAATAATAATATTCAAATAAACAAAAAAATAGCAGCAAAAATCTTAATAATAATAGTAGGGGTGTTAATCATAAAAATAGCACTATAGAACAAGAAAAACGAAGAAGAGTAGTAAGAACAAAATAGTAACGACAAATAAACTACACGGATTAAGGCTAGCTAAAACCAGAACCCAAGTAAATGGCACTAGTATACACTCTAAATACAGTAATTTGATACAAATAATGAGTAACAGTACCCACAGAAATATAACTACATATTTTAAAAACAATAAGTATTAGCACGCAAGCTACCGAGGCTAACACGCGAGCGGTCGGCGCCTAGTATCTGCCAACTACTCAGGATAAACATGAGACAAGGGCTAATCAAGTTGAGAACAAGCAGAGCTGCGATAGTGTGCTCGAAGCTAATAGTCGTAGTGACCGGACTATTCAAGAGGGTGAAACTGCTGCAAGAGGGTGAAACTGATAACCGGCAGCAACAAAACACACACAACCCTGCTAGCACAACATAGCATTGACAAATCTCCACCACAAGAGCCCAGGCGCCGTAGCACCATCAGCAGAACCGGATAGACGAGAGAGCAAGGTACCACGGGAGATGGAGGTTAGTTAGGTTTCTGTGGAGGCCCAACAGTTGGGCGTTGAAATTAGGGGATCCCTTGGTAAACGGGCCGCCTAGGCGGCCATCCCGGCCACCTATCCAGCCCCGTGCCGGGGAACATCTGGAAGATGTGATAAAGAACACACACGCAAAGGCAAGGTGGCACATAGCGTAGTCTAGTTAACACGGGTCGCAGGCTCAGCCGGGGAGGCGGGGAAGTTGTAGTGCCGCAGCACTACAATCTGGCGCTTCCGCTACCCCTGGAGAGCTACTAGATAATATGATACAAGTAAAGAAAGCATTTAAAGGGAAATTATGTTTTTATTAGAAGAAACAACGCATATTTAGTGGAATTTACTCGCAAACCTCGTTAGGATGGGGCTGGCTAAGTTGTCGGCTCTGCTTGAGGAGCGCTGACCCCTAGGGGGGTCAGCGACCAGAGAGAATACTTTTTGGGGCTTTTTGGTGTTTCCAAGGAAATTTATGTATTTTTAAGGGTTTAGAATTGTTTTCTGTTGTCTTTCATGATATGTGCGCTGAGTGCAGCGTAACAGATACAGGTGTGCATCGAGTTACAGTAAGCGCTTGGTCGTAGTAACGGCTTAGCGTAGAAGCTCCTTCACCACAGCAATGCCCTTCCTGACAGCCTAAATCCCGGGTCGTGCCGGCTGTCCACCTAGTGGCTACGTTTCCTTATCACGTTTTTGCATATTAATTGGTTTATTTAACCAGCACGGATCATCATACTCGCAGGAGGAAGAAGGAGGAGAGGCCACATACCGCCTCTCGCATGCGTATTCCGTATGGGGCGGTTAGTGGTTTCTGCCTTTCCTGGACTTTCTGCGACGAGGTTCACCTCCACGGCGACGCGGCAAATATGTGCTGCTGCCCCTGCGCGAGATCGCAATATTCGTTCGCCTCAGGCGCTGCATGCATTTAGGAGGGGCCCTGCCACGCTTCTCAGCAGCGACGGGACAGCCGTGCTGCCGCCTGCTCCACCCTGCAGAGGAAACTTCAGCTATGTTTCAGGTGTATATCCGCCTCTCCTGAGTTCCCAAATTTCGTGTCGCCGCAGCTATGCTGCCGTCGCTGTAGCTAGCGCTACCTCGCAACCCCTCCAAGACTTGCAGTCGCCTCCCCAGCCGCTTCTGGCCAAGGACAGCCTGCTCGCTGCTCTAGAGGCAGTCAAGAGAAGTGCAGACTCTGGATCTGTGTACCTGTTGGAGTCTGTAAGGCTGCACTGTCACAGGCTCGTTTGGCCTCACCGACAGTGCCAGTAGAATCAGTGTGTAGAGTTTTCCGCCCAGTTTAAATAGTAATAAGTGTATGCAGTGCGTCGCGTTAGCAGTTGCCTCGAGTTAACGANTTTTCCGCCCAGTTTAAATAGTAATAAGTGTATGCAGTGCGTCGCGTTAGCAGTTGCCTCGAGTTAACGACCCAGTGACCATTGTTTACAGTTAAGGGTTTAGGCTTTGTGGTGTGAAGTCAGCGTCGTTTGCTGCATCTCAGCACGCAGCGCCGAAGTGCACTTTTGTTGTTACCTTCGCTGCAGAGTGTCCAAGAGGCACTGCCTGAACATGCAGAAGCAAAGGCGAAAGTGGCGGCAATTCGCGAGTTGGTGCGAGACCTAGAACAGCTGAAACAGGAAAGGGCCCGTGTATGTGCAAAACAACCGCACTCCACCGTAACTTCAGCTTCCCCCCATACACACGCGTATAGTATATTATATTAATATATAGTGAGGCGGCTAAGTGCTGCTTAATGCTGCTCTAGGTATGTATGTATGTATACCATAGACTGAAGGACTTCGTGAGAATGTTTGCTTTGTGTATTGCAGCTGGCAATGTTTCGCCATCAGACGCCGAAGGAAATCCGCAGCGAATACGCCCAGATGATGCTCACGGGCCTTTTCACGGGGTTGGCTGCTGCGATCCACCCAATATTTTTCGTTGTATGTTTTCTTAGTGTGCACGGTGAAAGAGTTCTTGCAGCGGACACTGTTTTCACAGTTCAGCTATGTGATATGGCTCCAAAACCCCTCTCGTGGTGGCTGTGCATCTGCTCCTCTCTCGTCAGGGAACCATAGGAGGGCTCATTCGAATGCGCCGCACAAGACGAGCAGAAGTCGACCGTGACGGTACGCGTAGAGGAATGTACCGAGACTGTACAGGAACCCTGCAGGTGCACCATTCAGCGCTCTTGTGTTGCTGACGTACTTCTTGTGTTGCTTTGGGTTGGTGTGGTATCTGTCTTTACAGCAGGAACTGTGAAGATGGACGAAGTCAATCGGACGGTCAAGGAGAAACGAGCTGCTCTAAATGCTCACATCGATGCACTTGCTCATATGGTGGGGCAGTAAACCCTTCGTTCATACGGCTATGGGGAGCCGCACCTTGTGGAGTTCACACGGTGCAATGGCGACCAGTGCGTGTTAACACAAACACGGCTGCCTTAATGGCCGACAAACTCTTCCCCTTTTCCTGTTTTGCATGCGAACATCTTAACTGACTACGATAGTTTTAAGCGGCGCTCGTTCCCGCTGCAATGAGCATTTGCAACCTTGAGCCGGTCAACCCCTTTTTCGGGTATGCAGTAGGAAATTGAACCCTAAGATATGAAAAACCAACACTATAATAGTTGTGGATATTGCTGGTGAATCAAACACCTTTGACTTCAGTCAGTTTCACAGCAAATCTCAATCAAAACCGATGAGCCATAGAAACCAGCTAACATGCTCCTGGAAAGTTTGCGTGCCAGGTGTACAGACAGCTGACGGTCAGTAAATTTCAGTCCGTCATGTAGCCGTTTCACGAAAAAGCAGTTTGCAGCTGATTGCTTGCCACTGTTTTGCCTGAAGCATTTCTTATTGCGAAGCAGTACACGGCCAACATTTCTTGATTTCATCGATAAGGATTACCAACCATGACTGACAGAACCGCCCACCGCGGATCAGGCAAGTAGCATTTGCATTTCTTGGTANAGGATTACCAACCATGACTGACAGAACCGCCCACCGCGGATCAGGCAAGTAGCATTTGCATTTCTTGGTATTCCCATCGGCCGCATGACGTTCGTTTATTTAGGCCCTTCTGAACGCCGCTGTGCCAGGACCTCTGGAGGCAGCAAGGAAAAATATGCGCCAGACCATATTGTTTGCGACGCTGCACGAGCGAACGATGGACAACACAGAGCACTCACAATAGCCTCCTGCACTATGCTAGACAAGCAGCAGGATGGCATTCAATGCGGTGGGTGGGACGATGGTGGCAATTAGTGGCACAAAGAATTTCATCTCTGAAATTTCAGACAGCAGAGACATCGCCAGTCTCCTGGGTATCATTGCGGCATTAACACGGGAACTCGAGACGAAAAACGAATACATTGAGTTGAATGTGCATAAGATGGCAGGTAGGATTTCCCATGCACACCTTATAAAAAGGTGCCTCTCCCTTAGTTCCTTTGCTTCCAGCGCTCTCTAAGGCCCTCGAACGCGCGATGGGGTTCGAACGTCTGTGGTCACGTAGCCACNTTTGCTTCCAGCGCTCTCTAAGGCCCTCGAACGCGCGATGGGGTTCGAACGTCTGTGGTCACGTAGCCACCTCGTGGAATGGGCGGTTGCAGTTGGCGCAGTTTTGTTTGTCTTCTGCCTCTGCCGTGCATTACTCTGTTAGGACAGACAGAGGCGCATTAAAGGAACTGATGAGACGGCCTCATAACACCCACGAGATCTCCCATATAAGATACCTATCAGGACACTGCATATCGTAGTTCTTGTCATGTGCTGGTGGCGGCTCATTTCCTGCAAACAACTGACAAACTCAGGGCTCTAAGTCGTTTTAAATCGATCAACAGGAAGCTAACGAACTCCTTGAGGAACAGGCACAAGCAACGGTCTGCTGGTGTAGTTTGCTGTACCGTCGTTTGCTTATGCACGTCAACCGCTTGCAGTTCAATGACAGCAGCATGTCCTCTGTAATTAGATATTTACGTAGGTAGCGGAGTTGGTGCCGCCATTGTATTTTTTTTGTTATTATACTACTTTTGGGTGGCGCAGTCTGTCTTATCTGTTGGTGGCTGCTTCTAAACCTACCCACATCTGCCGCCGCAGCGACCGCCAATATAAACTTATGGACTGCATGCTTCAGCGGCTGCACTAACTACCCGGACAGTGCGAAGTTACCAAACCATCTGAGACTGGCAGCAGCTGCTGCACAGAACCCTCAGTGTATCCAAATATGCTGGAACAGCGGCTTTCTATGGTGCCCTTCTTGTCACCGGGGGTCGCACCTACTGACACTGCAGTAGCTAGAAAGCAACAGCAGTTTCCCT